CCCAGGCCGGAAATTCAAGAACATTCTTGCAATCTCACCTCCGTCAAATCATCCAGTTAGGGCCTTATCGGTCTCCTTTGTAAAGTGTATGTAACTATTTTCCTTTTAAACATTTGTTTGTTCTGAACAGAACTCAAAGTGTCTTAAATGCTCAGCAAATATTTATGGACGATGATCACAGTCTCCCATCTCCCACTAGAAGTAAAATGCCACATAGAAACTAGGAAGGACTATAATGAAAGTGTACCCACATTAATGACTGATATGCGGAAGACCATAGTTGTAAAGTGCAACAAAAGGTATTTGTCTTAGTCTGGGCTGCTGTAACAAAACTACCACAGACTGGGTGGCTTAAATGACATTTATTTCTCAAGGTTCCGGAGGCTGAAAGTCTGAGATGAAGTTTCCAGGAGGTTTAGGCTCTTTGTGAGGGCCCTCTTCCTGGTTTGCAGATGGCCGCCTTCTAGCTCCATCCTTACATGGCTGAGAGAGATTAGCTCTCTCATATCTCTTTGTATAAGGACACAAATTCTATTCATGGGGGCTTTACTCTCATGACCTAATCATGTCTAAAAGGCCCCAAGTCCTTTTTATATAAAAAAAAAATTTAATGTTTATTCATTTTTTGAGAGAAAGACACAGAGCATGAGTGGGGGAGGGGCAGAGAGAGAGAGAGAGAGACGGAATCCAAAGCAGGCTCAGGCTCTGAGCTGTCAGCACAGAGCCCGACCAGGGCTTGAACTCATGAACCGTGAGATCATGACCTGAGCTGAAGTCGGACGCTTAACTAAGACATCCAGGTGCCCTAAAGGCTCCGACTCATAATACCATCACACTGGGGATGAGGCCTTCGACATATGAATTTGGGGAGACACATCCATGCGGTCCATGGCAGTATTACACTGGATCTGGAACTTCTTGGGACTGCAAAAATGTGTTGGCCTAGTTTGTGACATGCCAACCAAGCGTGGTACATACATACACAGTGGCAATGATGTGGCCCTAGTCTTTGTGTGTTTTCTACCATATCTGAAAGGCAGAGCAATGAGAACCCACTTCAAAATGGAGGGGAGGACAGTCGGCTTTCCCAAGCAGAGGCCCTCAGTCACAGCTTTTCCAGGACATTCTGCGTTCCAGGCACATGCCCTGCAGAATCTCAGGCAGATGGCTGGGCTTCTCACTTGCATCTCCCTGGCTCCACAGTTTGTTCTATCTTTCCCTTTTAAAATGCGGTTCATTCTAGAAACAGATGAATTGGTACACATAGTACTTCTGAGGATAGATCCACGAGAAGTCAGCCGCAAAGCCCAGGAGAAGCGCAATCTCTGGGAAGAAGCCAAGCACAGATTTCAGTGGAACATCTCCCTCATGCTTGAACAAGTTTTTCTTTCTTGTTGAAACCTGTTCAATTCCCTCTATATACCCTACTCTCCAGACAGATGGACAGACAAGGAGACAGATACATGCTTATTTTGGTCTAAACACTTCTTTGCTGAAGTATAGCTTTCCGCCAGGCTCAGTTACGTGCTGCTAAGGAATCATTCACATTCAATCTGTCTACTTCACCCCAGCCTGTGGAACACTTCACACACATTCCCAAGTCCCAACACGCCTCAGAAACTGACAACGAAAACAGCAATACTAACAGGACTTCACAGAATGATTTTCCCTGAACAACCGGAAGCGGCTCTAACATTGTCTCGTAGAACATCGTTGTGGCCTGGCGTGAAGATAGGGTCGGTGATACGATCCCAATTAGGAAGATGAGGACACTAAAGAAACCTTAGTCAGTTTGTGAGTAAAGCAGTGTGGTTCTGTTCTGGCCTCCAAACCAGTTCCTATCCACCAGCTACCAACTCTTTTGAAGAGTCAGAATGTTGAGACCAGTGAAAAGCTGAAGAGCTGTGTCAGTTATCAGCCACTTGCCTATGAGGCAGGGAGAGAGGAAGTTTTCATGTAACGTCTTCCCACTGACCTTAACCTGTCTGCTTCCTTTCTAAGAGAGAGAGAGAGAGAGAGAGAGAAAGAGAGAGAGACAGAAGAGAGAGAGAGAGAGAGACAGAGAGAGGGAGAGAGACAGAGACAGGGAAGGAAGGAGGAGGGACTATTCAACAATCCATCAGGCAAATGCCTGTACAGTTGTTTAAAGTAGAACCTGGTTGATTCCAGTGGTTTCTTACAGCCTTAGCTCACATTGCCTCACAGGTGAATCAATTCATCCTTTTACATTCAAACAAAAGGCATTCTGGGATAATCTTTCAGAGACGGAATGACTCCCTTAGGATACATACACACAAGAAGAACGCTAATTCTATCACAGTGCTAATGTACCATTACTAGTAATACACTTCCTCCAATAAATTAACCAGTACCTTAGGTCACAGCTAAATACATAAACCAGTTTGAGTGAATTAGTGGGAACACTGGTTAAACGATGAAGAGACTACGAATTATCACACGTGGAAAAGTCAAGAACTCCAGGGGCGCCTGGGTGGCGCAGTCGGTTAAGCGTCTGACTTCAGCCAGGTCACGATCTCGCGGTCCGTGAGTTCGAGCCCCGCGTCGGGCTCTGGGCTGATGGCTCAGAGCCTGGAGCCTGTTTCCAATTCTGTGTCTCCCTCTCTCTCTGCCCCTCCCCCGTTCATGCTCTGTCTCTCTCTGTCGCAAAAATAAATAAACGTTGGAAAAAAAAAAAAAAAAGAAAAGAAAAGTCAAGAACTCCAGAGTGCCGAAGCAAAGAGAGGATTCAGGAGAGAAGATGGCCGCTTTTACATAGTTTGAGGGTTGTCCTGTGGACGATTCTACATGTGCTCCTGAGCGCCCAGAAAACAGGCCTGGGATGGCCCACTGATGATACAGGGAGGCAGAGTCTGTTATATTATAAAAGGATCTAAGATTTAAGGGGCATCTACGACGCGTGAGCCACTCTGGAGGGTGCTTTTACAAATGATAGCTCAGTGAACCACCTGCCCCCACCCTGCACAGTAGCTATCAGTTAACATGGTGGTAGAGAAGTTAACAACGGAGGTTCAGAGGAACTGAGACACTTGCTCCAGGTCACAGTGCTTCCGAGAGGCAGAAAGAGGATTCGATCCAACTCTAGGCCACTCCCAAGGCTGTGCCCATTTGACAGCTGGCCCCTTTGGGAAAAGAGCTGCTAAAAAGGGACAGGAATATACAAGTAAACACAGCACCTGGAATAGCTTCCATTCATGACGGCAAGCCGTTTGTCTAAAAAGAATCTTAAAATCCTAAAACGTTGATTATGGGCTTCTCTTGAAGAAACAGAGTGGAGAGACCGTAAGCTGTCATTTGTCTTTCCTTCACTTCTTATTAAGGGCAGTTTTGTGGCAGCAATAAAGTAAAATAACTCAGTATCGATGTTCGGTAAGCTCCCCATCAAACACAGAGGAAAAAGGGAAGAAGGATGTTGCTATAAAAATACCTGTAAACTGATCCATCCACATAAGACCACTTTAAAAGCCAGGGCAGATGGATTCTCAGTTGCCCTTTCTTTTCCCATTTCTGTCTAACAAGCGCAATCTTTCCTAACTTCCATCTGAACAATTCCAAATGACGACTTGATTTGCAGTGATGGGCCTACCAGGAAGCCGGGAGCTCTGGTGAGCATTTCAAGTCTCGCCCTCCTCTGCCTCTCCGAGCTTCTGGTTCCTCCTGAGTAGCATGAGGGGACCCTGGTGGTCTCTTTCACCTCTGCCTCCATGAACGCCAGCACATCCCTACGACAACATCCCCACGTGTTGTCCTGTGACTGATATTACTGTGTATAAGCACAATACGTGGCTAAGAATATCGCATAATGGATGACAGCCCAGGACCGGACCACTCGGTCTTAAATCTCAGCCAGCACCCTGGGACCAGCTGTGAGACCTGGCGAAGCATTTAACCTCCCTCTGTCTCTGAGCCCGAGTTTCCGCATCCACGAACCAGGGCTATGGATGGTACCTGTGTCACGTGCTCGTCTCACCATTAAGTGAGGGAATGAGTGTGTGCCATCATTACTATTATGGGGTGACAGTGGTTCTCTGTGTATCAGGCTCATCCAGGGGGCTTTGAAACACCCATAGGTAAAGGCTCTATTCCAGAGGGGTCGGATCAGTAGATCTGGGAGGGGGCTTCGGAAGCTGCCAAGTCCGTGCAGGGGGGACCCTGGTGCAAGGCTGGAGACAAAGATTACCATGGCATCAGTTCACAGCAGGCCCCCAGAGACAGGTAAGGCAAACTTTGGGGAAATGAGAAGCACACACCTCAGACCCAGATAGGCTTGGGTTCAAACACCGGTTTTGCAATTTCTCAGCCACGTGGCCTGGAGCTTATCACTTATCTCCTGTGAGTCTCTGTTTTCTCATCTGTAAATGGAGATAGCACCAACTTACTGAGTGTTGCCGTGAGGTTTAGAGAGATCTGTGAAGGCTCCAGCAGGCAATCGGTACAGGATGCTTTAAAAAATGTATACTTATGCTTACGCAGATTGCTCAAAACAGAAGGAAAGGAAACAGAAGTGCTGGCTATCTGGGGCCTTTGGAACAGGCAGTTAATCTTCTAAGAACTATGAATTATAATTTGTCTTTTTTAGATAACAAATACATCTGTATGTTACATGTTCTCCCTTTTGAACAAAACAAATTTATGTACTCTTTGCTACACACTGTTGTTTTTTTCTTTTCTTTTCTTTTCTTTTTACTTAACAATATATCTTGGGGATTTTTTCGAAATCCGTACATACGGAAGATCCTCATTTTTATTCTACAGAAACATGGTATTCCGCTGAAATGATGTCTCATAATTTAACCAGTCGCCCCATCGAGGGGCATTTAGGGGGTTTTCTAGCATTTTCTCATACAAACAATGCAGCAATGACTAACTTTTAAATAAATCTTTTCACACAAATGTATCTGTAGGATAAATTCCTAGAAGTGAAATCGCTAGATCAGGTTTGTACATTCGTTATTTTGTTAAAAAATCCCCCACCCACCCTCCGTAGATTTTGCACCAGTTTGTAACTCCCATCAGGAATGAGAGGGAGCCTGCTCCCCACACCTCCATGAACACACGCTCTTGTCAAGCTCTCTGGTCTTTGGCCATCCAATGGTCAGGAAGTGGTATCCCATGGTTTAATTTGCCCTCCAAGTACAATTGTGCCTATTTTCATGTTTTAGGACACTCTGAATACTCTTTCCTAGGCAATGATTCTTCCTATCCTTTGCCTGTTTCTCCATTGGTTTGTTGGACTATGTCATTTTGATTTATAGCAGCTCTTTACATATTTGACTTGGCAGGCCTTGGTCTGTGATATGAATTGCAAATATTTTTTGGCAGCTTGTCATTTGTTTTTTGACTTTGCTTATTGCTAATTCGTCCTCCTGTATTTGTTCGTTTGCCCACGTAGAAATTTTTTATGGAGTTAAATTCACCAACTGTTTCTCTTATGGCTTTTGGGTTTTGTATCATGGTTTTAAAGAGGCTTCCCTGTGCTGATGTCACCAGAGAATTCTCTTCCGGTTTCCTCCGATAAATGTATTGTTCTACATTCTGCATTGAAATCTTTGATCCATTTGAAATGTATGCTGGTGTAAGGTACGTACCTGTTGTTTACTTGACTGAATTCAAATCATTTATATGGTTTTCATACTTCTAATATAAGTTCTAATATAGTTCTCATATTTATAGAAGAGCAATTTATAAGAAATTATCTGTACGGTAAGAAAACAAAAAACAAAAAACAACCTGGAAAATTCCAAGCAAAGAGAAAACGAACAGTTATTCTTCTTGTTAGAAAACTTCAATAGCTGACTTTCCTTCCATTTTCCTGGTGTGAAAACACATTTGATATTCTTCTCCTCCTTTTCAACGGTTGTCACTCATTTACTAAAAATATTAATCTTCACAGTGAATTGAATTAAAAATTACAGATGGGAACAGTAAGTGAAAATTTCTGAAGATGGCATTATTGTCCCCCTTTGAATGATTCTTTTTTGTGTGTGGGCAATCCTATCTCCTTTATCTGCAATGCTTTAAATGCCTCAGTGCAATAACAATATAATCATAAAAGCTAATTAGTAAAGATTTTGTGTCTTGTTAATGATGCACAATTGATTATGGCTTGAGGAAAGAATGAGCCTAACCATTCAACCGTGAGGAGCACTGCATTTTATCTTCCTACAATATGTAGGTGATGGCATTTTTATTACTGTTTTTCTATTATGTAGACATCTGACCCAACTCGCCAGTCTGCTCTTCTGTGGTATCGTCATTCACTACCACCCAACCTGAGCCCTTTAAAGATGTAGGGATCATTCTGGATGCCTGATTCCAGGAAGGATGAGGAGAATTAATGACACATGGACCAAACGGTGAACAGCAATCAGGGTGTTACCTCCCTATTCCATCTTTGCTTGATTTTTTTTTTTAAACTATACTTCTTCCCATAAAGCCATAGGCCATAATTATGTCATACAAGCACCTGAATAAAAATCACTTTAAAGTAGCCACTTAAATAACTGTAATCTTTTTTTCTGGACCTTCTCACAGTCACTACTTCTTTATCAGTAAATAGACGTAGCTAGACACAGATATAGGTAAATGTAAGAATATTTATGTAGAGAAAGGAACATCACACAGAGACTCTGGAACACCCCAGCAAATGTCTCTTCCCCTGGGCTTATGTCCTGCCAGATTCGTCCCCTGAGTCTAATTTCTGTCTTCCTTCCTCTCTCACTGTCTTCCTTCTCTGTTAATGGTTTCCTTCTCCATCTCCAGAGTCTCCAACTCCAAAGCTGTGTGCAACTGTAGCTGCTTTCTTTGGGGTTTGGTCCAGTACCCAGTTTTTCAAGGAGATGGGAGTTTGGCTCTTTTCTAAGTTGGTGTGGATCGCACAGCCATGATGAGAAAAGTACATGATAGGTGCGAATTTCAACGTGTAAGGATTAAGAGTCTGTTATGACATGGATCTGCCTTCAGAACGTACAACTAAGACAGTATTTCTGGCATTGTTATTCCCTGTTGCAATTTCCCGACACTTGAAAATGTCCAAAGATATTCTCCTTGGAGGCTGCACAGAAGCCCTGGGGCCTTCACTCCCATGACGCAGGGCAGCCCCACCCCCACTTGACCCTGAGCGTTGCCCTGGCTCGATGCCATCCTGTCCCTATTTGCTCCTCCACTCTCCTCCTCACCGTGGACGGTGGGGCGAGAGCTGCCCTGTGGCTGGTGGGGCAGCTCCAGAAGCTCACAGTGTGGAAGAATGAGAGGGAATCTGTCATCGGAAGGAGTGTTTGGCTACCTGGAGAGGGGACTTACACGTCTCTTTGCGTAGAGGGCCTTTCCTCTCTCGTGTCAGCCTGTTGCCGGGCCATGACTTCATTATATCTGGGCTGCCGGGCCAAAAAGGCAAGACTCAGTGTCGCGTGGGGGACCAGAGTGTGATTTAAATGGAAAAGTGTGACCTGCCTTCTTTCCTCTTTGCCCAATGGTAAAGGGGCTGGCTTTAGGGGAGAGACACTGGTTGAACTGGAAAGCCTGAACAGAAGGCATGGAATTGAGGAATGCTCCAGTTCTCAGCTTCACAAACCAGCGTCCTCGGAGGAGTTGAACAGCACGGAGCCATGCCTACCCACCCAGTCACCCACTAGGCCGGTGCCTACTCGCTGAACAGAAACTTACCAAAATCAGGGCTTCACTATTTGGAGGGTAAGCAAGAAGGAGGTGCTGCAGACGAGTTCCTGGTAGGCTTGAAGAATGTGTCCTGATGGCTTTGGGAACTGGCTTTTATAGACACTCAAGGTCTAGCTAAATAGTAGGTCACAAAATAGAGAGGGTCACCAACGGCACAAGAGCTATTTGCACAAGTTACCACAATGCTATCTCTAGAAAATTACTGTTGCCGTGTACCATACGACAAAGTTCAAGTCTGACCATCCTGAAACGTGACTTACGAGGTGTTTTTCATGGAAGTTCTACTTCTGTTTGGTGTAGGCTTTAGCTTGTCAGACGCCATGCGTGACCTACCTTCGTTAACAGGCCTTGAGCAGGCGATCTCTTAACACGTGCTGATGGCTGAGGCCCTTCTGTCTCAAGGACTTTAACTGAACTTGTATGTTTTATACTTGTGGCCCGAGGCAACTTAATCACAACAGTTGCAATTTTATATGCAAAAAACTGATAAATAAGTAAATGGTATTCAGTTTCCAAAAGAGGGTGGCAGCCGTGGGAAATCCTAGAAATAGTCACTGTTCCCAGGTCCCTGGTGAAATCCTGGCAATTCCTCCACACTTCCCTGTGAAGGGCGGTCCCCGGGTAGCATGCCGTGATTAAAGCATGCCCCGTACCCTACCCCCAGAATAAAATCAACAGAATACTAAGGTTGCTACTATTTACAAGAACATCGAGCAGTTTTCCTTTGCCCTTTGTCTGGACCCCGCCCCCCCCCCCCCCCATCTGAGATCCTGAGTGGCTTAAGCCTCTGGCCCCACTGGCTCAGACCCAATGTTTGCGGCCGGGGAGGGGGGGGAGGGGGAGGGGGGCACGGACAGAAACTGACCATCTTAAAGGGCTGTGTGGGCCACGTGCTCTCAACTGCAACCACTTTCCTCCGTGTTCCCTCAGAGTGATTTTCTCTGGGGCTCCAGCAACCCAAAGCTACAGAACACTCTCAGAAATACCCTTCAGATCACGGTCTTTCCCCAGCTCAAGCTTCCTGCTTCGTTCAAGGGCACACAGTAAAGATGGAGGCACAGGCCTACGGAAACTGCAAACCAATTAAGATATACCAGTGTGGCCAGATACCCACCCAGCCCTACCCCAGAGGATAAACTCAGAATGGAGGAGGGAGGCCTGGTGAGGGATGGTGGCTCCTCCTTTGTAATCAGAAAAGCCCCTCAAGCAACCCAGAATCAGAAAGGGGACAAGTACTCTTTTAACATAAAAAAAAGTCAAAGTTCTGTCAACCTGAAGAATGTGAATCTCTTAGTAGACAAAGTAAGGGGTTTTAGCCAGAAACAGATCTTTACGGTGTGAGTCTGAATTTCCAGGTGGGATTGAGAAAACAACCGTCTGCAACCCTAAGCACCCCTCCTGCCACCCCCGTCCATGCCATCCTGTCTCCCACTCTGCACTTGGCATCCCCTCTCTCTTGTCCGTGGCAGTGAAATCAGGTTTGGGAGAGACCTCTTGGAGACACAGCCCACTTGGGAAGTAGACACGAGGACACAGCAAGGTTTAGGGACTGATAGGATATTCCAGAAAATGCAGGGGCTTTGGGAGTAGGACAGAGATGAATGGAGAGAGAAAGACTATGGGAAGGGAAGGAGTGGGAGGGGCTGGATGAGAGGAGGGAACATCCATATGGGGCATCCTCAAGTTCTGGGAGGGGAGACTTCACATGCTGTCTTAACTCTGTTCCAGGGGCTATAACACAACATCACAGACTCGGTGGCACTTAAACAAAAGAAGTTTAGTTCTGGAGACTGGAAGTCCAAGATCAAGGTGCCCGCAAGGTCAGGTTCTCGTAAAGGCCTTCTTATCGGCTCAGGTACCTCATCACATGGTGGAAGAGGCTGGGAGTCTCTCTGGAGCCTCTTTTTTTTTTTTTTTTTTTTAATGTTTATGTATTTTGAGAGAGAGGGAGAGAGTGAGAGAGAGGGAGAGACAGCATGAGCGAGCACGAGCGGAAGAGGGGCGGAAAGAGTGAAGGAGAGAGAGAATCCCAAGCAGGCTCCGCACTGCCAGCACAGAGCCCGACGCAGGGCTCCGACTCACGAGCTGTGAGATCATGACCTGAGCCGAATCCAGAGTCCATCGCTTAACGGACTGAGCCACCCAGGAGCCCCAATTGCTAACTTTTACAGAGAAGTCCTATTTGTCAGGTGGTGTTCTAAGCACTTTACATATGTGAGCTATTCTGTTTTCACTACGACCTATCATTGTTGTATCTCCATTTTATGGATGAGAGAAGTGAGACCTCAAGAGGGTGACGTAACCATCCAACTTCCTGCAACTGGGAAACCAAATAGCCAAGAAACCTCTCACCCAGGGGGGCAGTGTGGACCCACAGTCCACACTCTCGGTCATCTCTATACTGCAAGGGGGAAGGGGGGACACAACGGAAGGGATGCTGGGGCAGGGTCGGGGTGAGAATAGTGATTTGAAAGAGGGACATCATGGAAAGCCTCACGGGAAAGGTGATAACTGAGCAAAACCATGCACAGAGGTGAGGAGGAGACAGGAGTCTATCCGAGGGAAGAGCGTTCACTCGCAAAGCCCTCAAGGCCAGAGGGAGACAGGCCTAGCCTGAGCAGTGTGACCAAGGTGGGGACCAGCAGTGACCAGGCTGAGCGTCCTGGCCAGGCTGCAGAGGGCGGCTCAGAAATGTAGACGAGGCCTGCGGCTTTCAGTCTGGAGAGTCTGAGGGGACACGTGGCACGGTCTGACGTTCACATTAAAGTTCTTGCTGCTGGGCTGGGAATACACTAAGGATTTCTGGGGTAGAAGCTGGGAAACCAGTCAGAGGCTTGTTGACCTCCAACAACACAACACTGCCGGGGGGGGGGGCGGTGGTCAAGGGACAGAAGGGGTCAGCAGGCCTTGAGGGCCCCCCTAAGCTCACGGTGAAGCCCCATGTCCCCGGGCTGTGCAGGGCCAGTCGGCTGCACTGTTCACAAAGACCCGCCGACCTGTGGGCAAGGCTGGGAGATTCTGGACACCAGAGGAAACACGAGCTTCTGTTCTTGGCTGCCTTGTGCTCACCAGATATCACTGACTGACATTCTTATTGACTTGGGTACAAGCTGTTCTCACTCACCTCATCTCACTTTCCCCTCAGGGCTCTGATTCCTTCTTTCTTCAACTGTTACTTCTGCGGAGGAGAGCCCTGAACTCCAAACCCGGCCCACACACTTCTAACTTCCACGAGCACATCTACGATTCCCTATTTCCTACCCCACAGCCTCCGGATGCCCCTATTTCCTGACCACCAGACCAGGAGGCCAGATTTGTAGTTGGACCTCAATCCACCTTGGTTTTTGGCTCTCGTCCAAATGATGGTGATTCCTATAAATTATCCTCTGAGACTTCCTCTCTTTCCATTCCCACTGCCATGCCAACGTCCTTCCCTTGGATGACATTTCCCTCCCTCTGGATGATTTCCAGAGCTGCCCAACTGGTTGCTCTCCTTCCAGACCCATCCCTCACTACAAACTCCTGTGAGCTCAACCTTGCCAAAGGCAAGCTGTGACCCTTGCTGCAAAATCCCCAGCTGTTCCTCACTTCCCGGTGCGGGTGTGCCCCAGTGTGGCGGTCCACAGTCCCCAGATACGTCCAAGTCTGTCTCCAGCTTCATTATTCCCTTGACGAAATGGACCCTGCACGGCACGTGACTTGTGAGTCTTCTGTCGTATCCTGCACATCCCTGCCTCATGTTCTTGGAGCCACACCTGCCTTCTTGCAGCTTTCCCTCATTCCCTCTTCATGAAGACCTTCTTATTCTCCCCA